TACAACAAATTTAGCTGCTCGTTGACCGGAGACATTGAGATATAAAAATAATCTTTGATAAATAACTCTCGTGGCTTTAAAGGATTCAAAAACAGTACGGATACTGATTTTATTAATACGGATTAGAAACAGAATTTACGAACGCTCTAGAAACATTAATTTGCAGACGTTCGTTTACGTTCACCTTGTTAGATAAATCACAGAAGTCGTAGGTTTTATTATGAGTAAATCTTGTTAATATTTCATTTTGGCTATGATATCGAACTTTGCTGCAATTACAAATGTGTAATTTCTTAGATAGGCATAATCCTTCATTCTTATTAAATAAAATAAATGAATCTCGGAGGATTAGCGATTAATCCCGTTTCAAAATTGAATATTATGCATGGAATAGCTCGACTCCTTCAGTAACGCTTGCATTAATTTCTGAACACTGATAATATGTTTTTCTGATTGGCAATAAACTTATGCAGAAACTCGTTTGCAAAACATTTCTTTAGTAAAATTAAGAGCAATATTCTGCTATGTTGAAAACAGTACTTCATCCACACTTTCGCCATAAAATACTTTAAGGTTTGTCACGCTGCTCTCTGCTCATGCCTGCTTATAACTGGTAATATTTTCTCAGTCACTAAACCTGCAACATTCTTTAACTTATTTATTCTACATTCTTTGTACGCGTGCGCAGAACTGACGTGGAAGTGGTATGCGGAAGGAGAAGCCTTCTATCTACTAGTGTTGCTTAGTTTATCCTAAGAATTTTTTAAAAATAATATGGATTGTAAAAAAAAATTTCAATAATTATTTTTTTATCGCACAAATATTGTATATCCTGGGGAAAAAATTAAAGCACGCAATTGGATACACAGGCTCTTTATATATAGATATATATACGAGTGTCGGATGTATGGTCTGTCAAGGTCCGCCTTGGTTACACCAGCCCGACTAACGCTACCCTCTGCCGCCGGTTTCACAGACCTCACCTGTGTCAATCCCCTTTGTGCCGCAAGAGAGAACGTTTCTGGCCAAGTGTGTGGATTTCGCTGTCGGTCATAGTTGTCCACCAAAATCAAATTCATTTTTATAAGTACTAGAACAGATGTAAGGCACACAATTGGATACACAGGTTCTTTACTATCGCTATATATATATATATATATATATATATATATATATATATATATATATATATATATATATATATATATATATATTTTCAATAAAGGTGAAATTAATTTACAAATTCATGAATTATTCATACAAAAAACAAATACAAAGGTTAATGATTTAATTGGCGAGAAATCCATCGTCGCGAACAATTCAAATAATATACAAAAACCCCTGAACCTGTTTATGCATGAAAAGATCCTTGTTTCTTTAAATTTCTGTTGCATGAGTTCTTATTTTTACAAGCTTTCGTCTGTTCATACAGACATCCTCAGGTATGGAATAGATTTTGTTCTTGTTTTTTCTCTCAGTAATAAGAGGACAACGAAAATATATGTACTATTGTAATCCGAAAAATGCTATTAGAAATGAGTTATTGTTTTTGGAGCGTGTTGTCGCAACGCTGAGTTTGAATTTAAATTTTTACAATTGTGCGTTCTTATACAAATATGGTGATAAGTGAATTCTTTTTTACTGGTAAATTTTCTGTCAAAGTGGCATGAACTTTATTGTTTAATAATTACAGTAATGTCGCACTTATTATCCAAAAGTTGCATTTGGATCAGTTATTTTAATTTCAATAAAGGTGCAATTAATTTACAAATTCATGAATTATTCATACAAAAAAGAAATACAAAGGTTAATGATTTAATTGGCGAGAAATCCATCGTCGCGGTTTATATATATATATATATATATATATATATATATATATATATATATATATATATATATCCAGGTAAGATGAAAACTGATAGAGTAAAATTCCAGCTTTCGTAACATTTAATTTAAAAAACGGGTCAATACACATTAGAGCAAAATATTATTTTTTTATGATATTAAATCAAAAATATGTCAAAAATCGCTACACAATAGCGATCATGTTTCAACGCATACCAATGCGTCTCCTCAGGCGATGTCTAAAATTTTCCAAGGATATTTTACCCTGGCTTAGAAATTTTCCAAAGAATATTCTAACATTTCCAGTGACGAAATGAATATAATAATGAACTGTAGAAGATCTGTTCTCATCCACAATAACGAACAGTGGGTTAAGAACGCTGATGATTACTTTGATATTTCAATGAGATCATTAGATTCTGCAGAGTCTTCTGACCTGATGCGTTTATTTATCATATATAACCTTAGTGCTTATGATGATGTTAATGTTGATAATATAGAATGATATGCTGATTATGGTTTTATGGTAGTAAACAATTCTACTAAAATTAAGACAATCGCCTGAGGAGACACATTGATATGCGTCAAAACACGAGTGCAATTTTATAGCGATTTTTTACATGTTTTTGTATTAATATCCTAAAATAAATACTATATATATATATATATATAAGTATAAGTAACAAATTATCCGCACTTTCGACATAACATATATTAGGGTTGATAATACGTTGTGGGATTAATGTTTTTCATTATTACTAGGGTTTATAAGTTTAATCCCCAATGGATGCCCCATAAAAATTCATCTTAACAACAGCAACAACCAACAATATTTTAATATTAATTAATAATACCTATATCTTCTTTTGTTCACAAAGTTATAAAACCATGTTATCTCCACGGAAGCGAATTATCCGCATTTCCTTTTTCTTGAATGAATTATTTGATGCTTGTGACAGAAAAATTAGAAACCTTGTAACTTTTACTTATTTTGTGAAAGTTATCTTGAATGGCCACTCTTCTCAATCTTTTTGCATTAATGCAGGTGTTCCTTGAATCTATGATGTTCCTCATTTTATAAATGACCCTCCTAGTGTCATCAGTTCTTAACTCGATATCTATACTATTTACTCCTGTATTAATACTAAGTCTGATCGGTTCAAAGAAGTCAAATTGGCAGCTGATCCCCAAAAAATGACCTAAATTCTGTTGTTAATCGGAGCAAAGAATGGCTTGTTAATCTTAATTCCCCCAAACGAAACTTTTTACTTTCGATCAGTATGGTTGATGCAAACTTCCAGGAGAGTGATTCATTTTACCATCTCGGACTAACGTTTACCTCTAACATAAAGTGGAAAGATTATATATTGAATCAATTGCTAGGCCTGAAACTAGGAAAGTTGGTTCACTGTGTCGTACTAGACAATCTTTCTCGCGAGAATCTGATTTACATATTTATTTGTCCTAGCTCTGAATATTGCTTCCACATCTGCTCCACTGCTCTTGCTATATATTTAGAAATTCTTGATAAAATTCATAGAATCTGCAATATTATTGGTCTTGATCTGACATCTTAGTTTCAGTCATTTTCCCACCGCCGTAACGTAGCTTCTCTATGTTTTTTTCTATAAATATGTTTATTGTTCTGAGCTACTTTGCTCTGTGCTACCTGGACTTTATGTATTTAAGCGCAGTACTAGAGTGGCGGCAAGGTCTCGTCATTTTACAGTTGAAATAGCTAGATGTAGCCGTAAGTTTTATACTAACAGTTTCTTCTATCGCAATTCCCACTCACGGAACTCTCTTGTGGCTTCCTGCTTTACAGCCAACTTTGATCTTCAAAAATTTAGATGCAATTTCAATCGTTATCTACTATTTTTCTTAAATCCTGATCTTTTATTGTTCTAGCTTTTTTAATAAAAGTTCTATTTTATTATCTGTCACAACCCTTGCGTCTTAGTGGTTTTATTTCCTTGCACGGGGTGAAACGATAAAAAAACTCAAACCTTATTCCTCATAAATATTTTAACACACGCCTTTGTTATGAATAATCATGCGTGGTTTCTTTTTGTTTTGCTACTCTCCTCTTTGAGAGAGCTATTTCTGTTTACTGGGACTATAAAAGGACACTATACGCGAATCTTGTATTCTCAGTTTAAAAAAAGCTTTCTTATAGCCTTCACCTTCGTACTTTTTGTTAGAATTTTTGGGTATCTTTGTACTAGTGAGCCAGCCAAAATGAGCTGACTCATTTTATAGTTCACCAATAGAAGAGTTAACCAATCAGAAGGCTCAAAATATTCAATGCGACGTGTATAAAGGCAGCCATGTTTTTTTTTTCCGAATATTCACTGCCAGTCTTTGATATCGAAGACTGAAGAATTACGGAAGAGCTGCTGGTGGTATTGGCAATATAGTCAGATCCAGTAGAGTGTCTCACTCATGAGTATTAATCTTTAACGTTGTTTTATTGAACAGATTGCATACTGCGCTGTATTCTATATTCATAGACTTGGCTAACATGGGTCAACACTTTTGTCATTACAACTTTTTATCGAGTTGCGCGCAAACTTTTTATTGGATGAGCATTATTATAAAAGACAGATTAGAACGTACGTAGTATTTACTTTATAATATTTAATGTATACATAATTTTAATTAACTGAATTTAAAGATTTTTTTAAAATACCTATGTGTTATTTTTCTGGTTTTAATCAGGGCAGTTTTAGTCCTTTATAGGCGTTGGTTATATAAAAACAAAAACATACGTGCTTCTTTGTACATGTGCGTTACACAGTTAATCATCCGTACTGTGAATAAAATGTTATTTTTATCTTTCTGTTGATTTCTCTATATTACTAAGCTTTGTGTTGGGCACGAAACTTTATTCATACGACACCCACCGAGAATCGACCACAAGGCAACTAACACGCAGTAACTTTTACCCTGACTAAAATTTGCATTATTGCAAATCAGAAAATTAACCGGTTATTCTTCCAAGACAGACACGCTACAATGACTACGAAATATATTCTTGAGCAAGGATTATCAAAAAGACGTTGGATAAATTCTTAAAAGAGTAGTGAATTCCGTTTGCAAAATTTTGCCACTAGACACCCGAGGCTTAATAAATAAAAACTAAAAACCGAGATCTAATGTCTTAGAAAAAGGTAAGGAATACAGGTTGAAACTGAACGAATGAAAATAGATGTAAGAGAATAAGAGAGGTGGGGGGGAGAGAAAGAAGGAAAGTGAGAGAGGGAGCAGAGAAATAAGGAAAATGAGGGAGGGGGAGAGAAAGAAGGAAAGTGAGAGAGGGAGGAGAGAAAGAATGAAAGTGAGAGAGAAGTGAAGAGAGAAAGAAGGAAAGTGAGAGAGGGGACAGAGAAATAAGGAAAGTGGGAGGGGGGGGGAGAGAAAGAAGGAAAGTGAGGGATGGGGGAGAGAGAAAGGAGAGAGGAGGAGAGAAAGAAGGAAAATGAGAGAGGGGAGAGAAAGAAGGAAAGTGAGGATGGGGGGAGAGAAAGAAGGAAAGTGAGGGATGGGGAGAGAGAAAGAAGGAAAGTGAGAGAGGGAGGAGAGAAAGAAGGAAAGTGAGAGAGGGGGAGAGAAAGAAAGAAAGTGAGAGGGGGTAGAGAAAGAAGGAAAGTAAGAGAGAGGTGAAGAGAGAAAGAAGGAAAGTGAGAGAGGGGGTGAGAATAGAAGGACAGAGGAAGAGGAACTACGGTGATGAAAGGAGAAGTAATGAGAGGGCGGGCATGAAAGACGTAATTAAGATGGGAGGGGCAATTTGAGTGCTTGATATCAGGAACAGAAGTTGGAAAGTCGTCATCCCGGATTGTCCCTTTGTTTCACTGTAGTTCATGTGACCCATTTCTGTTCGTTTGAAGGGATGAAGTTCACGTTTGTTACCATGGATAGAATTTCTTCTAGAAACGGGCGGGGCAGGGAGGGGGGACTTACCCCGTTAAAATTAAGAAATAGGAAAATCTTAAGTACATCATTTCGTCTGTACTTTTTCGAAAAGTTTACTTTTGTCTTATTTTATTGTTATTGCCAACGGGCATTTCTGTCTGTTTTCCCCTCTCTTTCTCTCTCTCTCCACTTCTCTCCCCCTCTCTCTCTCTCACTATATATATATATATATATATATATATATATATATATCTGTACTAACCTATTTCGTTACATCAATATATCCGTCGTCAAATGATGAAAAGCAAAATATTTTACACAATAAATATTTATTTTTTAACATAATTTCCTCCGTGTCAATGCTCCTAATTCAATGGTGCATCTTAAGCACATAGAACAAACACAATACAGGGAAAATTTCAGATCAAATTTCAATGACTATATGTAAGGCTTACTGAACCATCATTTATTATATATATATATATATATATATATATATATATATATATATATACCAGTTCATTATTTATGTATGTATCTATTTTGGTCAGTATTTATCCATTTATCTATTTCGATATTTGCGAGATTTAGTCTAGTCGACCATAAGACCAAAATGCAAGTAACAACATGCCGAAAGCTCGTGCTGCGCCAATTCTTCCAGTTGTCTACTTTGAAAAGCAGTATGGAGAATCTAAGCTTTGACCTGATATCGAACGCCGACCTTGGACACTAGTGGGGAATACGCAATCATCTTCGTGGTGGTATGTATCTGCTATTTGGCAATGGTAGACTTTGTCACAAGGTGAGTAATTAAACTTGGACAGCCCAATGAGAATCAAGGTTACTGTAGTTGTGATGGTCAGGGAATACTATCTTACAAAACATTACTCCACGGTGAGACGCGCTTCTGTCATTAGTCAATCTTTATAGTGTCCTTCGTCTTACGTCGGAGATCCGTTCGTAGGGCCCGATGTAACCTGATTTTCGTCGTAGGTTGGAACTCAACTACATTAGCACCTACAAGTCTGCCTTACGCTTGGGAGCCATAATGAGGGCAAAAAGTTTGTTTTTTTTTTTTAAAAAAAAAAAACAAACAAAAAAACGGCACAAATGAGAGATAGCGAATGTAGCACAATCCAATATGGCGTACTGCCGATGAAAAACCAACGCCGTCTTCCTCATATAGCGCTGCGTGACAACGTATTATATTATGGGAGATGGTGCCGTAACCAGGAAATGCCGTACGTCTGGTCCGACTTAGCCCAAAGACCTTCTGTATATATTCAGCTTAGTGTTCCAGCATAATCGTGAACTTATTACACTAACTAATTGCATGGTTGTCAGCAAAAGAGACAACTCAATATGTAAGCTGAACACTGGGGATGTCAAAATCAAGCATGTACACACATTTAGTGAATAAACAGACGTGATTAAAAAAATCCGAAGTCACGTTGTAATATGAAAAGACGTATTCCAGAAACTAAGCAACAAAAGAGATAGGAAAATGTCGTTAGAAACAAAGAAAATTTTGCTGCACTACAATGTAATATTTAATTTCCTCTATGGCACTAAATACTGGACACTCTCGAGAAAATGAGGAAATGTGAAGCAACAGAGATGTGTTTCTTCAGACAAATACCAAGATTGATTCATTCACTCATTCATCCGGTTTCTGGGGTTTATCAACCCATTGCAGCTTATTTAAAGCCAGAAAATATTTTAGAATGTAAAAATATTTTTTGAGATAATAATGGCTGTGGTACATGTCTTACTAATTAACCCACAGATGGGAGTTTGGATTCATACTTTTCCCAAAGGTATTTGCACGTAAGTGCACATAACGAACCCAACGGGAATTGGAACCCGACCCTCCAATTGACAATTCCGAGCCATTACAACATTCCAAGCTTACAGCACCTGGTATTCCCAAGCGGTCACCCATCTAAATACTCACCAAACTTGATGTTGCTTAACTTCGTTGATCGTACAGGAACCAGTGTTTTAACATGATGACGTTGCAAGCCATCAGATGGCAAGAATACCATGGATTGAACATTTGAACAATGAGAACGTTTTTTTAAGGAAAATAGAAACTAGCGGAAAACTTATTCTTAGAATTAGAAAGAAAAAGCTGTAATTTATGGGGCACACTATGAAGAAAGATGGTTTGGAAAGTGTAACACTCACAAGGCATATTGAAAGCAGTGGAGCTTGGGGAAAACAACGAGTAACCTATACAATGAGCTTGTGCGAATGTGTGGCTGAAGGATGACAAAGGCAACAAAACATAGGAAGTTGTAGAGAGCCATGATCGCTTACGTTCTCAAAGGAGGGGGATTCAGTGCACCCAAGTCGGCACCGAATGTGACACAAGGTCGAGGTTTAAAGCGGGTTTACCAGCAATACCGTGGAAAAATTACTCAATCTCCCTCGGCACTTCCTCTTTTGGAGACGCCTCAGGCGCCGGGTAATGACCCACCCCGAAGGAGAGGCATTTCCTGGGGTGGGGCAGGCCCCCCTGGGGCTTGAGCTAATATTAATTTCCAACTCTGCCGGTAGAAGTCAGGTAAGGAGAGAACATGTAAAAAAAAGTAATCTGCCAAACTAGTTTGCATACTATTGCGTTATAAGCATTTTTTTCTTTCTCATTTTCTTTCTTTTGTTTTCATTTCTTTCTTTTTTTTTCTTTCTTCTATTTTCCTTTCTTTCTTTTTTCTTTCTTTCTTTCCTTCTTTCTTTCTTTTTTTTCATTTTTGCATTTTTACTTTTTCTTTGCTGAAAATTCCAAATGTATTTCTCGTTCTGAGATGTAATAGCAATAAATCTTTGTGCTGAAAACGGAGGCGTTGGTTTGTGACTGTTTCATATTAGCTACACCCGCTGACCTGGTGTGCATCAGAAGTAGCCGTTGGATAGGCGCCCACACACGCCGCTACCCCCCACCCACAAAAAAAAAAGAAAATTAAAAAAAAACAAAAAACGGATGAGCGGAGTGTGCTGGGAAGAGAGGTGGTTCTGCCACACACCAAAAAACATGATCTGTTTGTGTCGAAGGAAACACACAGCCGAGCAGACAACTTTTTGGCAGCTTCAAAAAGAAAGCTTACGCCGTAAAATGAAGGGCGTAATTTCAGTGCGTAAGTAATGAGGCCCTGGCACCGAATTGTACAAACAACACAAATAACAAGTCGTTCTAAATAAGACACAGATAGAGAGCCGGATAATTTCGTCTAGACTAAATAGAATCCTGATTGCCACACCTCATCACAATTCGAAAGCACTAGACAGATAATATGTTCGGGTCTCTGGCCCAGTAGGTTGATGCTAGATTTTCCATATCCACCCACTGCTTGGAAATCGGCAACGTCTGAGAAAACCTTATAGAAGGCGTGTGAAAAGAACTCTCAGTTTATCCTGTATGTGGCGTTCTCACAATCTAATGATTGGGCATGTTTCTTGGAGAATAGAATAATACCATGGCTTCGTATCAAACCAACGGAAAAGCTGATCCTCTGCGGCTAACACTCAGTAGAACAATTTTTTTTTCTGAAATTCCACTAAGAGATAGAGGCAGTGCGCAGGTCTGTCGAGTCATGGTCCCAATATGAAACATGTATGCATTTCTCTGACCTGATAAGAAACGCTGAAGCTAATGTAATTGAAATTGTCTGAGATGTAATATTGGGTACGATAAAGAAATTCAGAATCAAGCATTAGGTAATTGCTGGATGACTTATACGATATGCAAGCAAGTTTGCGTGTATACGTATTTCGGATATGTGCATATGTTTACTTAGATGTGCGTAAGCATAGATAGATAGATAGATAGATAGATAGATAGATAGATAGATAGATAGATAGATAGATAGATATGTTTGTTTGGGCATGTACACTCGTTCTTGTATGTGTATCTTACTGTTAGTGCGTCCATGCACGTATATAGTCATTTTGCAAGCTTAGCTTAGATATGGCACAAGACCGAAAGTAGGAGACACCCAATGAGGATCGAAATCACTACTAAGTCGTAATAGTTCTAGCGAGACAAGTTTTCTAACAATTACACCGCCGCGTATGTATATGTATGTATGTATGTATGTATGTATGTATGTATGTATGTATGTATGTATGTATGTAGATAGATAGATAGATAGATAGATAGATAGATAGATAGATAGATAGATCCTAGTGAAAATTAGGTGAAACAACCGCTTTAGTTTCCTTGAGTGGCAGGGTGTAATCGATTTCTATTTTTTCCTCAGATTAGGTCATTTGCAGTGATGTTCAGTAATATGAATCTATTTTCGGGGTACATGATGAAATTTGTTTAGTCTTGAAAAATATTGCATCATCCGTGATTGCATCAGATTTTTATCACGCCCAAACACTATTGTCTCAACTGTCGATTAGTTGCCCTACGGCCATTGTCTTCAGTGAACTTTACTCCAAGGAAATGTAAGAAAATTGTAACGATACACGTTCACACTGGCAAGCATTACCAGTGAGTAAATCAAATTACTATAGACTGGTCAGGAATCACTCCTGATTTAAATCCAATCGAAGAGATCTGTGGTCAATGTGCAAGAAACGACTTCGTGGAATAGACATACGCAATACAAACATGTGCACTAGGCCATGTTTCATTGGAAAAAAACAAAAGAGAAAGTTAATAATAACGGAATTATTCGTTTTATTTCAATTAATATGCACAAGGGTGTAGATAGATAACTAAAAGACTGAGATAGATAGATAGATAGATAGATAGATAGATAGATAGATAGATAGATATGAACTCTCTGTCACAATTAGATAGATAGATAGATAGATAGATAGATAGATAGATAGATAGATAGGCAGGCAGATGAACTATTTAGAGTGTGTGTGTGTGTGTGTGTGTGTGTGTGTGTGTGTGCGTATGCGTTTATGTACGCTTGTGTAAGTATATTGTTTTGCGTGTATGTCCGTATATGTTTGCTTGTGTGTGTGGGTTATGCTCTTGTTTTACACATCTGTAGGATGTAACTGATTCAACAAGGCAAATAATTTGTTCTGCGTTTTGATCCTGATGTCTATAAAAATTAATGAAATGTCTTTACGGCGTGATATTTTTCAACGATCCAGTCTCTGCATTTATTCTCTGAAAAATATTTTAAGGACAACGAATCTTAATCGTCCGAAGAGAAAAGACAAAAAAAAAAAAAAAGAAAAAGAAAAAAAAATGAAAAAAGAAAATGAAAAAGAAAAAGAAAAAATGGATGATCGCTAAAATAATAGATTGAAATTAGGGAAGCTAATTTGGAAGGGAAAAAATAATTGCTACTCATTTAAAATTCCTTCTTCATTCGTTTTAGTTTTCACTCTTTTTTATGTTCATTCATTCGTCTCTTCCCCCTCCACCACCTTATAACATTCTCAGCCTCACACTATTCACTTTAAGCTTTCATTCCCCCACCTCGCTTTTTTCTATCTAAAATTTCTCGGTCTACCTCTCTATTTGAAATTCTGGAATGAGGAGTTGTCATTGCTTTCATTATATACATTCAGACTAATATCCTAATCTTTAGCGATGCTATCGTCTTTCTGCCATATCACGTCGTAAAACCGATTCTCGTACGAATACCAAAGTTAAGCTAGTCCGATCCTGGTCAGTACCTAGATGGGTGAACGCTTGGGAATACTAAGTGCTGGGACGTGTGGGTGTTGTAATGGATAACAATTCGGAGTTGGGAATCACAAATTCCGTTCTGATTTGTTTTATTCACTTACACGCAAATAACTCCCAGGAAAGAATCGACCTCTTCACAGCTATGTGGTAATTAATAGGAATTGTAACAGTAAATGATTAATCTCTCTAATATAATTCTTAAAATCTAATTTTTTCTGATTTTGAATAACGGGTTGACAAGCCGTAAAATAACAAACCAGTTAAATCAAATCATTGTTATTAAAACAGTTTGACTGCGTGACTTTCTTCAGATATCAGTGCGTCCTGGGTAAGACGATAAACTACATCCAGCAGCAATGCCTCTGATCAGCAGGTTTTTTTAAGAAGCGTGGAACCACGTCTAAATTGCTAATTGTTTCCAGATCCACCCTAACTCGGGGTGGTAGCACTTGTTAGGGTCCAGCTATGGGTAAATAGTTAAGCCCGGAACTGGGATCAAAACACTATGTAAGTGAAAAATAAACTTTAATACCAGAAATACTTTGTAAAAAAATTATTACCAGCAATTATTTTTGAAGGGAAAATTATTAAATGTAATACTTAAAAAATACCAGCAATAGAAACAGCTATACATATTTTGAATGAAAAATATTCCCAGAAGGAGATTTTTGAAGAATAACATAATACCAGCAATACATTTAAAAAAAAAAATATTACCAGCAAAAAATATTTTGTCGACATTAAATAACCCATTGAGGTTGATATGCCGTAAAACAAACCAAACGAAAGCAACCAGGTTTCTGTCAAATAACCTTCAAGGAATTTTGAACTGAACCCTTTATTTAAACTACCGCTGTCCATATTCCGTCTTGTTTTCATTTTGCAGACGGCTGTTATTGCTAGCTCTGTTTTCACGGAGTTTGGGTCTGCGAATTCAATTCCTAGTCTGATCATTTTAGACTCCATTTAAATAGAAAGGGAACAAACCATAACTGAGAAGTTTTAAAAGTTAACGATACGAAATATGGAACGAGAATAATCTCCCCACCCCTTAATTTAAATACAGAGTTCAGTTAGAACATCCTTGGAGGTTACCTTGATCAACAGACACCTGAATTGACTGGAGGGCACGGTCGGGTGGCTGAACCGTTGGGATAATAACAGCAACAATGATGAGAATATTAATCCGGAAGTAAAATCTGCGCACAACATATAGTTCATTTTCGCCCTCTCTATATATTTTCCATCCCTTGCTCTCTTTTCTATCTTTCAACCCTCTCTTTCATTATGTGTATTCTTCTCTTTCTCTCTTCGTATCTTATTCTCTCTCTTTTTAATATCTCTCGCTGTACTCCCATTCTGTCTGTAACTTTATCGTCTGTAGACCAGCTCACATTACATTTTATTCGACTACATCAGTTATCATCGATCAGTGTGTGTGTGTGTGTGTGTGTGTGTGTGTGTGTGTGTGTGTGACCCTGAAGCCCTGATCCAAACGTGGACCTTATAATCTTGTGTGGGATATAAGAGACTGTCCTTATTACCGGCATGGGTGTTTATATATTTATCTGCTATGAGTTTTTTTTTCCCACACACACGCATCACAGGTACAGCTGCCTTGCTGAAGAACACTTTTTTTTAACAGTAATATACACACTGTACAAGGCCCGTGTCCACTCTAGGCCTGACGATTGCATATAGCATGAAACAGACTGTCGCCTCTAAGTGTTGACTTCTATGTTCACTTTTATATTTACACGCTTTATCTCTGATATTGAGCACTTTATTACATAAATATAGCATACCTTAAGACTATATTTCTTTATATAGATAGATAGATAGATAGATAGATAGATAGATAGATAGATAGATAGATAGATAGATAGATAGATAGATTAAATATATATATATATTATGGGCATGTGGCCGAATGGTTGGAACGTTCGCATTCTAGAACGTTTCTGATGTTATCGGAGTGGAGGGGTCGTTCCCAGCATGCGCTACTTTTGGAAAGTGTCTGAAAACCATACCACGGGTTGATCCAAGCCTTGTGAGTGAAATTGGGTTGACGGAACACTTGGGAACCGTCAGCAGCTGTGCTAGCACGAAGTCACAAGTCACAAGGGCTTCAGCGATTCTTGCCTTGTTCAAATTCTGGAACACGCTAGATAACATGCTATCTCCCAGAAACTAAGATCTACTCTGCATAGTTGCATTATAAACAATAGGAGGGATCTGCGGGTGTTGAAGTAACACAAATGTGCCTTAGTAAGCATCTGCAATAGGGATCGACTAACTGCCCTTGTAGACGGGTATTCTTGAATACGAGTGACCAGCCATATATATATATATATATATATATATATATATATATATATATATATATATATATGCACACACACGTCTAATATTTATCTTTTTCAGATAAAAGTAAATAAGAACAAATTCAATTATTACGAACTTAGTAAATGTTATTGGCGTAAAGTACATTGGCCTATTCCCAAAACAAGTGAATACTTACAGACTCAAATGTAAACAACCAATATTTACTTATTCTAGAACCAGGTAAACGCTTATAGGAGCAAATATAAATGACCAATAATTACCTACTTCTGAAACAGGTAAATGCATATAGAGCCGTATATAAGTACAAAAAAAGACATTTCAATTTTCAAAGATCTGTTAGAGCTGCTCAGCAACCTTGACATATTCGGGCAAGACTTTAGAATAATCAAAAACCTCTACTGGAAGAAAACCGCCTGCATAAAGATTAATAATGAGTTCAGCAGATTACAAAAATAGAAAGGAGCGTAAGGCAAGGATGTGTCTACTCACCGGACTTTTTCAATCTATACCACGTGGCAGTTCTGAGACAACTGGAAATCCTACCAGGATTCATCATTGGCGGCCAAAATCGTAACAACGTAAGATACGCAGACGATAGCAGACACAGAAAGGAAACAACAATACATCGAAGTAGCGAAGAAGAACCTGAAGAAAGGACTAAACATAAACTACAAGAAGACAGAATTCATGGTCATCATTAAAAAGATGAGCCGAAAATGCAATTTACAGAACGAAGACACTAAAATCAAGCAGGTGCGGGAATTTAAATATCTGGGAAGTGTTCTGACAGCGGACGGTAAGTGTGACACTGAGATCCGAAGAAGTATTGGAATGGTCAAAGACGCATTCTAACAGCTAGGCAGAGTACTACGAGACAGGGGGATTTCGTTAATAACAAAGAAAAGAGTACTGAACTGCCCTCCTTTACAGCAGCAAATGTTGGACAGTCTCCTCAAAGATGAAGAAGTGACTTGAGGCAACGGATGTATGGTTCTGCAGAAGGATGCTAAGGATACTGTTATGGCGTCCTCCCCTTTTTCATATAAGTGGACTCGACCAGATCGTTACTTGGACTGCTGCCGTTAAATACCCACAGTCAGTCAGTCAGTCGTTCACTTCTGAACCGACTGTTTGGTTGAACTCTCTGCCCTCGGGCGGGGAGGAACCCGAAGGAGGATACGCCGAAGGGCGGAGTCTCTTTCGGGGAGGTAAACCGGCTCTGAACCCGTTTATACGGGTTCAATGGGCATATTTTTGGGCCGAGCCCACGGGCTCGGAGAACCCACAATAAATAACCGACCTTGTGTCACATGATGCCCCAGTGGTTTGACTGAATATCCAGTCAGAATTTTAGAGAGAGATTGATAGAGATTGGGAGAGTGAGCAGAGATTGTTATTGAGTTGGAGGTAGAGTAATAGTGTGAGGTAACCGCTTGTAGAAGTCAGTTACAAGCACGTAGACTCTAAGGAAGTCCTACTTCGAGACTATATATATATATATATATATATATATATATATATATATATATATATATATATATATTATTACGACTAACTGCGTTCCTGGATTTACTAACAATATACCCATTGTATTATTGTGTAAAATACATTTAATTTCTTATATTTAATTCTTGCGTTTGTCATTCATTGAGACCGAATTTCATCTCGAATCCACAACAGATGCCATGGACCAAACATGTGAGCAACGATGAGGTGTTGGAGAGGATGCAAACAAAGCGGAAACTTATACTTAACATCAGAAAGAGTCAGCTGATTTCTGGAACACGTAACGAGAAAGGAGGGCTTGGAAAATCTGATACCCACAGGACAGATACATGGAAAGAGGGACAATTGAAAAGAACGCATGACATACTTAGCGGGTTAAGCAATTAGATGGCAGAACGGGGTCTGGTAGAAATAACAAAAAGACAAACTTATTGAGAACTACACGGTTACAGGATGAAGTGGAGAGCCATGATCGCCCACGTGCTGAAGGGACACGGCACATAAAAGAAGAATATGCCGCAAAATCCATCAACCTAATTCAAACCTTATCAGCTTTTAATATTCTTACATCTAGAATTTCAATTTTGGAGAAAAAACATTAAAATGCACGGAAGATATTTAATGAGTGAAACATAATGAATAGTTGTGTGGCCGGGGGTTTAATGTTCCAGCTTTCTCCTTTCATAAGGCTTGATAATATTCCCTCTGATTATTAGAGCTAATTAAATTTTAGGAAAGCACAGGTAGCGACACACTGAAAGGATTTCTCTTTGGCATAACCTGATTGATATTTAAAATTTACCAATTAGGTTTAATTCGATCAAATGACTTTTTTTAATAATTTGAATATAATTAAAAAAAAATTAGGAATTTTAATTATTTAAAATATGATTTAAAAAAAAAAGACAAAAAAAAACGCATTAGCGAATTAGACCATTTCTTGGTTTCTGTGACCAATAGTTTCTCATATAAAGCTTTCCACATTTGGACACGCACTCCATATAATTAGCAAAAAAATTAATTACGACACGCTATAATTTAATTTGAAAGTAAAAAAAAAATAGAAAAGAAAAAGCATCAGTTTAAAAAAAGAATCAGAGACTGAACTACCAAATAAATCTACTAAAAGCCTCTTCTACATGTCGTGTCCAATGGCTCTCCACAACTTCC